AGGCCGCAGGTGAGCGCCAGACTCATGCTGACAGTGCATTCGGTAGTTAGCAGATGCTAACGGGAAGCAAATGCTCCTGTAGTAAATGGTTCGACACTTGTGTAAATATTCAGAGTGATTTTGTCCTCGTTGCTCATACTGGACACGGTGATAGAGTACACCAAGTTATTCATGAGTGCAAACGGAAAAAATCAAAATTAAAAAAATCATTGATATTTTGCAAAAAATGTATCCCAAATATGACATTTAATATTGTACTCTACTGCTATTATTGCCTACTTATCTAACGAATATGAAAAGAGAGAAAAACTATTATTTATGTGTTATTTAGGCAAGTTCATCATACTTGCTATACAGCCAAAATTACGCATTTTACCTCGTGTAACAGGGGCTCTACAAGTGTTCAAAATGGTCTCCTCTTGCGTGAACGCAAGATAAGCATCTGCGACCTCTGTGAACCACATAACTTCGGTTGTACCTTTATTTCTTCCACCACACTTTCAATGCGCCGAAGGTCATCACATTCCTAGACTTCGGTAGCATAAATGCGGATTTACATTAACCCCCACCTTCAAAAGCGTTGGGAGTATCTGAGTTATAAAATTCGGATACTGAACTACTCTTAAACGCTCGTGTAAGAAATGAGGATCGAGTATAAATTCACCCACAAAGCCATCCGATACATTTACAGAAAACCTCTACACTATGTGCATCATGCGGATTTTCTTTGGCTCTCACATGCAAATTGTGCTCATTAATTGTGCTAGATTTTGTAAAACACGCTTCATCTGGCCAAAGAATGAAATTCCTAGTTTTCTTTGCATTTGCACAGGAAATGCCTAAAGAATTGGAAACGACGTTAGAAATGTCTACTGCGTAAATGCCGCATTTGCTAACGGCATCTAGCAGCGTTCCGCTTGCCACCGAGAGGCAATTGCGCTGCCCTCCGAACTGCTTAAAGTCACGACGTTTGCGGGCAAGTGTTTGGGGGCTATTTCTGGTGTGCGCGTAAGCATTTCTTAGAGCATTAGTAAGTTTTTGGCCATATTATGCAAATGCCGTGATTTGTGTTTATTGTTACGTTTGTTATTGACAATCATATTGTTTGTTTAGGTTCTGGCTACGCATCTCGTTCGAAAATTTGATTTAAAGAAGCAATATTCTGTCAGACATATGAAGTCATTACCTTTTTTTTTGAAAATGGTTTGAAGTATATTTTATCACATCCTTAGAGATTTTAATAAAGTGCTACTTTATAAGAAAATGAAATGCACGAAAAATTGCAAACTCCGTTCCCCTTTCGTCATTCAAAATTTTGGTTTTAGAAAATTGTATTTATTGTTAACATTGAGAGAAATAGTTCCTTCATTAAAATTAAATAATCGTTTTGAAAAAGGACAGAATGTCCATAAATACTGTCCACAATTTTTCGATATATTATGATAAATGTACGGTTATTCAAAAATATAAATAAATATTGCAATGTTATCTTTCATATTTGTTTTAATTTCCTGTGCTGAATTCAAATTTTGATGATTGAATTTCAATATTCAATCCATGTGTTTAAAATTATGTTATCCCTAATTACTTAGTAGTAAGTAGTACTAAAGAGAGTAGTCTACAGCTGTCGCAGTTTCTCGCTGCCTAATCCCCATTTCTTTCGATCTCCCCAGGAATCATCTTCTAAATCTCGCGCTCCCATAATTGTTCTTACGTCTTCCTCCTACTTCCTTCTTGGTCTTCCTCTATATTTTCTTTCTTCAGGATGGTATTCCCACATCATCTTTGGTAGTCGCTCTCTGTCCAACCTTCTTAAATGCCCATACCATAATGGAGCCTTTATTTCTATCAGTTATAAGGTTGATTTTCCAGGTTTCATTATTTCTATTATTATTTGGTTTTTAATTATTTCCTTTTTTTGCAACCTGACAACACCGTTTCCAATATTTTATTTCTTTTCCTTGTATCGTACATCTATCCCTGGCATTAAATAGTCCATAACTCAACTCCATATGTGAATAGACTTTCAACAATTGTTTTATATAGTGTAATTTCTTTTTATGCTTGAATTCCACCTAATGACTTCTTAGTGAAAACAATTACGGTATTTCGACACAAATTACCATCAATTCAGATTCAAATTTAAAATTGAAATTTGCAAATATTTCCTCCTGAATCGTTATATTTTCAATATATTTTTCTTGTCAAGTTATAATGAATATTGAGGGGGGGGGGTTGTTACAATACAATTAGGACATAAGACTCGATAACTCTGGGGTGGATGTGAACAGTTGATGTGGCGGGCTACGGGCTACTTTTACACAAATAGTCTTCAAAATCAAAAACATCGTATTGGCCTGTTTGTTCAGGCAATGTATGTAAATGGCAACTTACTTATTGTGAGAGATATGTCCTTTTTAGTGTGTTATTTGTATTACTGAGGAAATGTGGAAATTCTGCATTGAAATTCTGATACGGGTGAAAAATCAGGGAATAATAGAGAAAATATTTAGATAGTCGTTTGAACTGCGATTTACGACGTTGGTAGAGCATTTAATAAATGCTCACAGTAAACCTTAATAATTTTCCAACTTGTCTATCTTCAGAATAGAAATTCACTTTTGTCATCTTTGTTCCGATGGTTCTATAGGTTCATATTCCTTATTTCTGGAAACAGTAGGGAATCTAAAGAAAAATCTTACTCAGTCTCTCCCACACACTTTTTCTCCGGTGCACTTCTGCACACAACTTGGTTATCGTGAAAATACGACATTATCTCAGAGAAGAAAGAACATTTCACTTTGAGAAAGTAAAACTAAACGAAGCAAAATCTTTTTTAATTCATTATAGCAAGAGAAAAACATCATGCCACCTGCCATTTATCGTCGACCAAAGTATTTTTATTTTTTTATTTTTGTAATTTTCCGGTTTCCTAATAGGAAAACGGAAATATTATTTCAAGAACATTAAAAAAAGTAAAACCTCGTCCTAAACGGCAATTCATTTTTTTTAATTGGAGCAGTTTTAAAGAAGTTTGCTTTTAAGCGCTACTATAAATTCGAAATTTGAAGAACTTTTTCACAGAAAATTTTTGGAGTTTTCGAAAAACTTCATTAGACGTCATTTGAAGCACATTCACTCACAAATACAAGCGTATTTACAAATTGCTGGAAATGTGCATATTAACGGCTTGAGAGATCTTTCAAACAAATTGCATTTGTGCAATTTTTGGGAAAAAAAACAAAAAAATACAATTACGTCATAAACGTTTGAAAAATTTGAAAACAAATTTGGAGATGTTTTTGAGAAAGTGGCGTTTGAGCGTTTCTGAAATGCGGAATTTTGAGATAATTTTAACACAAAACTGTTGAGTTTTCGAGAAAATTTATGGAATTATTTAAGGCATATGCACTCATAAATATAATAATGTAAACAAATCGCCGCTAATGTAAATATTAAAAAATGTCAAAAAATTACATTTTTTAAAATTTTGAAAAAACAAAAGAATAGAGCAAACTGATGTTTGTGTATTCTCGTAGAGTACATTCAGCACTATTTCTACCAAAAGTCTAAAGAAAAACTTTGGAGCCGTTTTTGAGAAAATCTTGATTTTGTTATTTTTAAAATTGCACATATTGCACACAATATTGTGCGAAAACTACTAAAATTCTTCATGAAAGAACTAACTATGGAGAACAAATTTTATTTGAAGAGAAAATATTTTTCTTAATTTTTGTAGTTGCAGGTACACGCCCGACAATATTCAAAAATTCAGAATTAACCCTGAAAATCGGTCCTTTGCCACCTCTTAAAGTGTATTTTACTCTATTTTTGGAATAAATTTAAAGGAGACATTTTTGAGTAAATTTTGAAATGCCCGTGGGGTTTTATGTAAAGTAGCCCCAAATTTTGAAGAAAGTTATTCAAAATTTTCGGCCTTAAGTCCAGCCAAATCGACCAGGGAATATCCATTTTTGAAGAAATCCTTCGTATGGTTTAGGTGCTAGCGGTGTTCACAGATGGACGGACGTTTCGTAAAATAAAAAACAACAATTTTTCTCTATCAGGGGACCCCAAAACTTGTATTTCCATTGAAATATCGAAATCGATTTTCTGCAACATTATATAAATTTCCCTATATTACGCATATTACATGTATACGGGAAAGTAAAAACTAGTGGTGTTAAAACAGCATGTACTTTCTTGTCTTTAGTATTGGTTATGTAATACTATTTATATCACAATTTCTCTCCAAATTAACACATCTCAGTCATCATTTTTTGTATAACTCATTACAAATCTTAGAATATTTGGAGAGAAAAGCACATGTTTTCGAGCAAATATCAACAAATTTGTCTATTATAACTGCTTTTAATATATCTAAATAATGTCACAACAATGAGATGTAGTTCACAGAAATTCATCGACCGAGACGCCATTCCAGTCTAATATTCCCTGAAGGCTAGCAATTTTTATTTAGTTTATTTTAAATAGGTTTTAAAGAATTTCTAAAAAAATAAATTGTAAACGAATAACAAAAGCTCGAACGTAAGAAATCAACAAAAAATATGAGCTGGTCTGGATAGCCGAAGTCACTAAGTCTGTTGGGCCGTAGTCACCTAGATTCGTAGGTTTGAATCCTGCATCGAGTATGAATGTGTGTGTGCGTGTGCGCGTGTCGATATTTTTGCAATCACTTGAATATTTAATGTCATTAAAAGTAAAATATATATATTTCTAATATGTTATAAGATCTTTGTCGATTATCTGGGAGTTGTGCAGTCAAAGCAGGAGTCGTCACTGCCGCTAATACTCTGTGTAGTATAATGACTTTAGTACTTCAGACTTGAACTAATACTACGGTTTTTATCAACACCATCAATTGATTATCCCTTGTACATTCATAGTTCCCGCACTTGCGCAGACGGTTATGCTACGACAGAGCTGCCCTCTGAAAATATTTTGACAGTAGCATATGAAAACTCTTTGCTCAGGCTCTTCTCTGATTGGTGCTGTACGAGAGCGCGCAAATCCCCTTCAACTTTTATCCTGATGGCGGCTTCGAGTATGTTTTTGCCAGTTTGAAGTGTCAGTTGAAAAGATATTATTGTTCGTGTGCCAGTTGAAATACCTGTCACTCTCGTGTCACATTTATTAGTGATAACATTTTTAGTGGCAGTGTCAGAAACAATTGTTTCTGAGTTTCGAAGTGACGAGTTACGCTTGTTTTACCGGTAATTATGAAAGGTGTTATATTGTAAGTACATGGGTTTTGTCAAAGAATTTATGACAATTATATGACATATATATATTTGTATTCATACACGAGTATCTAAATGTTGTTTCGTGTAAAGGTATATTGTTGATGCTATTGTGTTGACGCCAGTTCGTGGTTTTTGATCACTATACCAGAAAATGTAGAATTTTCGTCAAATTGAAGGATTGGCGCTAGTAAAATCTGTTGGAAAGTACAAGCGTGCGAATAATCAAGCTGTAATTTGTGACCTATAAAGTGAGCATCAGTTGACATTACCTGCATGTTAAGAGCATACCTGCTAGTAACAATTATACCATTGTGGATTTATAGGATCAGTAAGTAGTAATGTTAAAACTGTAAAAGTGATAGTAGCATTATTCTTGCGTATTTGCATATTAAAGTAATCATTATGTAGACATTTATTGTTGAATACTTGCATATTTTTGAGTGTTGTGTAGGTAATATTGAAGTTGACGAGTAATGATTTCTTTTATCTCATTTAGAAATGTAGACTGAAGGACTATATCATTCCGGTAAATTATATATCAGTGAATATATTACTTACCTGTTGTTCCATTGCTGTCACATACAAGATAATTAGAAATAATTGGTAAGTAATTTTCTCTTGATTGTACTATATAATGTGAAGACCTAACACTAAATTAATAATATGTTTTGCGATTGTGACAGTGCCATTCAGTTGTTTTAGTACTACAGCACTGTATTGCAGAAACTTCTATATAATTCTTATATTTTTCCCTCCTTCAGACAATGGATGAGAAAAAAAATATTAATGATCTTCCTGATGAGATTCTGGTGGAAATTTTTTCGTATCTAAGCGTTGAAGATCTTGTTCTTCAGGTCAGGCATGTAAGCAACAGGTGGGGAGAGGTTGTTAAGGATAGTAGGCTTTGGAAGCATTTAACATACCGCCCAGCATATCGCTATACTGAGAGCCATATCATTGATTTTTTGAAGCAAGCACCTAACCTTCGGTGGTTTGTTCCTCAGTATCGGTACACAACTGGACGGCTATTGGAAGCTGTAATAAAATATTGCAAGAATATTAGAGAACTAGAATTATGTATCAGTAAATCAGATTACTGTTTGGTAGAGAAACTGGTTTTGGAATGTCGTAATGTAGAGTATTTATCTATAATCGGTGATGACTTTGCAGAAACCAATGCTCTACAGATTATTAGTAAATGCACAAAATTGAAGAGTTTGAGGTTAATAGGGTATGTGACTACTCAGAAGCGAAATATTTTTGTAGATATTTCTCGAGGATGCCCTTCGCTTGAGAGACTAGATCTTAGATACCTCACACATTACAATAATGAGGATTTGGAGAGGTTATTGAAGCAAAAGAAGAATACTATAATTTCTTTATATTTATATTGTTGCAATGAAGGGCAAAAATGTTCTTTACCTGTAATATTTGAATCTTGCCCAAGGTTGCAGTTACTGCATGTAAATGGACATGGGGGAGGTCCTTATGCTGATGACTTTGCATCTTTTAAGAACATGCGCAATCTGAAAACTCTCTCAATGTTAGATTTTAGATGCTCCAATGTGAACTCGGTGAGTGAGTATTTTGAGACAGGCTCTGTATATAATCTAGTAAATCTTGATTTAAGCAGCTTTGAGAATTTTGGAAAGCGACTGGCTCAAGCTATTTTTACAAAATGCTCCAATTTACAAGATTTAAATCTTGGAGATTGTCGAAAATTGACAGATGAATGTTTGGAGTCTATTGGGAACCTAAGAAATCTAGAAAATCTTCATATGGATGGTTGTGAGGCCATTACTGATAATGGTGTAACTTACATAGTTAGATGCACTAAGTTAAAATATTTAAATTTAAATGATTGTGACAAGATTACCAATGAAAGCTTTCTGTTGTGCTGCATGCATTTAAAAATGTTAAGAGAACTGCAAATGAATGCTTGTAAAGTTGAGTCAAATTCCTTGTTACTGATCCCAGAGGAACTGAAGAATTTACGTACTCTAAGTATTCACATGAAAGGTTTGAAAAGAAGAGTTATTCGAATAATGAAAGAGACCATGCCAAAGTTACACATTCAGTTGGAGCAAGATTAATAAGGATTCCATGAAAAGTTCTTGTATTAATGTAAACTTATTGAATTTTAAATGTTCGTGACTGTATGTGAGCAAGCAAAGTGTCTCTCTTCAGCATTCACTTTTGGTTTAAGTGAATTTGGCGTATTGTTGTCAACTTAAGCAACTAGTTTATAAGTTAGTTAAGAACATACAAAACGTATATTCACATCTTTTCCAAAAATATGATATTGTGAACAGTGTTGATTTTAGGAAATTTTCCTGTTTGTATCCACCATTTTCAGTTGGCAAGAACAATTTGTGTAGAGCAAGAACTCTCTATATTTTTTAGTTTTTATCTGGATTCTTGTTCATTGGCACAATATTGCATCTGCAAATTTTGTATCCTCAATTAACTCTTTAAGTGGTAACACAAAATGTATTTCTTTATAGGTAACACTGGTCTCTCAGACCCTGCAAAGTTTTTTGAGCTATTTGTGCATTATTCAATGTTCTTATTGAATGTACTTGTGTAACTATTAACATGTATATTTGAATCCAAATTTTGTAATAAATTTTTTTAACATTGAAATTAAATTGTTTCAAACGTACAACAGTAAGTACGGTAAGAAAAATTACAGAGCAATTTTATCACATCAAAAGAGACTCCCAAATCATGCATAGTTCAGCGTTCAAAGTCACTTTTCAACAAATGTTTTAAAAAAATTAATGTTATGTTACGCTAATTGAATACCCTCCTGCCCCTAGGCAAAGCAGAATAATGCTGCCTCACCCTACCCCCCTTCTTTGGCATTATTACGTAACTTATGGATGACTTCTATAGCCAAATGAACAAAGAGAGTGGGTAGAAAAGACAGTGGGTAGGGTCTGAGAAATTGGTTTACCACTTAAGAGTTAAGAGAATTTAGTGTTGCTGTGTATCTTAAAATTCCATGGTTTTGTGTAATGCAGATGTTGTGTATTGTATTCAAATGACAATGTCACATCTTTCTTAAAGATGCAATTAATACTAAAAAAAACACAAGTAATTTCCATGTGATGGCGGTGTATTCTTGAAAAAATTTACATTGTATTAATGTCTCTTAAATAAACTTTTCAAAAATTTTTCTTCTTTTGAGTTTGTGTATTTATAAAGAATCAAACCTTCAGAGAGTATAAACTTTCTCTGTAAAACAAACCTTTCTCTGTAAAACAGAAATGAGTTGGTTATCCGGTTTTCATTCATTGCTCAACATACACTGTGTATGTGAGCAGACAACTGTCATATATGTCAGAGTTTTCGACCCATTATTTTGAAAATAGAAACAGTTAACAATACTACCATAAATCTCTTTTTATATGTAACTTTATTGATTTCAGTTGTAGAAATGTGTTGTGCCCAGAAAGTGGATTTGAGATTACAATCATTCTTCCCTCTGCCTTGTTTCATGAATTTTCAATATAGAAACAGTGATATTAAGAAACTTTCCTGTTCATGTTTGAGCTGTTTAATGGTTTTATTTTAATTGTTTCATGAACACTAAGGAAGCATGTTATTGATGTAGAACATAATCTTCTTTTTTAAACTTATAATAATCTAAAAATTTGTAATTCAATATTTTTAATTATATTATAAATTATTCTTTAACTGATGCACACCGAATATCCCCCCCCCACACACATAAAATAATTGTTGAAAAGATTTATTGTTCTGAAGTTATTTTGTAAAGAAATAATTAAACTTACTAAACAAATGATGCCACTCAAAGAAGCTTCAAGGATCTCCAAAACCTTTTTATACATTGCTTTTACATTTAATATACATTTTGAGATTAAATTAAAGCAAGAAAATAATAGGGCTATGAAGTAAGAAGTGTGTAATCATTTGGAAAATAACTTAAAGCTGGAGTTAGAGACAATTCTTGGAAACTTCATTTTAATTATTTTGATACTTATGATCTGATCAGAAGAAAAAATGGCTGTGACTTCTGTCAGAACTTATTAGAACACAGTAATAAAAAAATAGAAAGTTCCAAAAGAATTTACAATTACCTTGTAGAAGTTAAACATTATTGAGCTAATTTCCAAAATACAATTCATTATGGTAGAAAGATGATTTGAGAAATAAGTCTATTGGATTATAGCATAAATTATCTTTATTAGGAAATTTTGTTGACTGAAATTAAATATCCCATGACTTTTTCATAAAATTGTACTGTGCGTTGAAAAGAGGAGAACAAAAGTAGTTCTGAAGTAATGTATTTTCATTTGATTCCACAGGTAAGGGATACATTAGTTATGTAGTTGTCCTCTTTAATTGCTGCTGTTAAGTAAACGGAAATTGTAAAAAGAACATCGAATTTTTTTTAAAGTTGTGATCTAATCAACAGAAGATTTCATTGCAGTATTTCCATATGAGAAGGTGAATTTAAAATGGTAGTAGAATCATTAATTTTATTTGTTGATAAAAGCAAATGACTAATTTTTATATGGCATTTTGTTTGCAGTTTTTGGCGATTTCAACCCATGTCGTTTTTTACATGTTTCCGTCGTTTTGAAAGCATTTTTCGTTGGTTTCGTCGATTTTAATAAAATTTTAATGATGTTTGCTACAAATAATATTTATGACGTGCAACAAATGTTCTCCACAGAACTACTTAGTAGTATATTCAATCTCACTGCTCAGAAATTAGTTGTAACTATTCTGTAAAAGGCAACTTTTGCGAAATGTTACATTAAAATTAAATCGAAATATTTGCTGTACACCAAAAAAAGCAATTTTTCAATTTTTTAGCAGTCCCTAGGTTGATCATGATTTTTCACTCACAAGAATAAGTAACTAAAAATCTGAAATGGGGTATTTGAGAAATTATATTTTGAAAAATTACTGTGTTTTCATATTTTTATTTGTCTTTGGCAAATTGGCAGGTATGTATCTGATCTTCGCCATTTTAGGAATCAATTTTTGTGGTTGTTGATATGAAGTATTGAAATAGATTTGTCTATTTCGCAGAACGCTGGGTGATAGTTCCTCCACCGAAATATTTGTGTCAAGATTCCTAGAGTAAGAAGGGCATTTCTTGAATTTTGAATAAGCCAACAATGGGTTTGATTCACACACATGGTGGCCACTTTCTGGAGAAGTATAAAAATTTCATTATTCTGAAGAAGATCAGGGAATTTGTGAAAGAATGGTTAGAAGTCAGGGGAAATTTTTAATATGGTTTTAATTAATGGTTATAAAACTTGGTATTGTTCCTAAGGAAGTAGTGCAGCATTATATTTTCCACATTTACTATTTGTTGAGTTTTTAATTTGTACTTTATCGCAGCGAAATTAGAGAACTGACAAATAGATTCAGGCTTGCTGTAATATTTTCTTTAAATAATGTGAAATCCTCTACAAATCTTGTCAGTGAAACATTTTTAAAATTCTGTGGAAAACTGGGAAAAGGTCTGGGAAATTAATTTCAAGAAATGAGAGGCCACCCTGACATCCAAACATCATGTGCTGTTTTTTATCATACAGCATGAAATTTTGAGATGCCAATACCAGGTCTTCCTGGTAAGTCAGTGTTGTTGAAAGGTAATGATGATACAGGGAGTAATGGGCATGAAGATAGTGAAATTAAGACAGGGTAAGTAGAAGAACCCTGCAACCCTGTTCTGTCCACAAAGTCCTCGTAGATCGGGCAGGAATCAACGTTCCCACCACCTCCCCTAGCATTCGAAGAGACAGGTATAGAGGTACACCACAGCCCCCCCCCCACAAATGCATGTTATTTTTCATGAATGATTTTAGATTAAATTTTTGTTTTCTTCTTGCCCTAATGGTAACCGAGTGAAATAAAAATTCAGGAGTTTGACAACAAAAGTAGTGATCTGCGCCCCTGGCACCACTCTCTCGCCTCTTTAACCCAATTTGAAATGATAACAACAAACTTGAAGATTTCCTAACATGTGAGACTTTGAGTTGAGGATGTCATCAATGTTTGGCAGCACATATATTTGTGAAAGTGTTGTTTGTTTTGTTTTGTTTTTTAACTACGAGTTTTATTAAAAATAGAAGTAGCCTCTCCGATTCTATACTTATGCACTTAATGAGACTGGCTAAAAAGGAGTTGAAAGAGGACATAAATTCGTTGGCGAATGAAGCTGAACACACTCAATCTCCTCACTGAACAATTGCACAATTTATCTACATTTTATTTAATGGTATATTAATTTACTCAGTTTATGTATATTAATCCTTAAGTATATTGAATATTTGTATTATAATATAGTATGTATGTATATATATATTATAATACAAGAGTTTCCACCCGTCCTTTTAGAAAAAAAGGCAAATTTTACTTTCCCGTATACATACGGAGTAATATACGTAGTGTTGGGAAAGTTATGTAATGCTGCGGAATATTGATTTCGATATTTCAACGGAAATATACGTTTTGGGTCTGATACCGATAAATGGTTTTGTTTCACGTCTGTCTGTGAACACCACTATCTGTGTACTTTCACTGTCTGTGTACTTTACATTAAGCCTCTGGACATTTTCAAAATTTTATCAAATAAGGCTCTAATTTGTTTCTTTAAATTTCTTGTACAAATATAGTAAAAGACACTGATAAAGGTGGCATAAGTACGATTTTCTGTGTTAACTAAATGTTCGAAAATTTTGAAATTTTTCAGGCGTCTTCCTACAACTACAAAACTGAAGATGGAGCTTTTTTTCTCCAAATAAAATTTATTCTCCATAGTACGTTCTTTCAGTAAGATATATTTTTTTCAAAATGTTGGTAATTTTCGCGCAATATTGCGAGCAATATGTGCAATTTTAAAAAATTACAAAACTATTTTCTTAAAAAGCAGCTCTAATTTGTTCTTTTAAATTCTTGGTAGGGGTAGTGATAAATGCACTCTATAAGATGGCATAAACACCATACAGCTCTATTCTTTGGTTTTTCCAAAAATTACAAAAATGTAATTATTTACTTGTCTCTCATGTTAATATTTATATTAGTGGCAAGTTGTTCCCATTATATTTATGAGTACATGTGCTTTAAATAATGTCATATAAATTTTATCGAAAACTTCCGTGTTTTCAGAAACGCCCAAACGCCATTTTCTCATAAAGGGCTTCAAATTTTTTTCTTCAAACTTTTTGAACGGGTAGAAGTAATTGCATTCTTTAATATGGTGTTAAGTTCATATCCAGGAATTTTTGTTTCGTCAAAAATTACAGGAGTGTAATTTTATTGAAAGATCTCTCACTGTAAATATGCACATTTCCAACATTCTGTAAACACTATTGTATTTTAATTATTTAGTTTATTATCGAGTTATTTTTTAACTTTTGAAGAAAAAAAAAGAATAGAGGAAACTCATGTTTATGTCATCTCGGGTACATTTAGCACTATCTGTACCAAAAGTTTAAAGAAACAAGGTTGAGACGTTTTCGAGAAAATCTTGTTTTTGTTATATTTTAATATTGCACAGATTGTTGGCAATAGTGTGCGAAAACTATTACAATCTTCAAGAAAATGTACATAACCTTCTTGAAAGAATCAACTATGGAAAACAAATTTCATTTCAAGGATTTTCTATCTTCAATATTGTATTTGGAGAATGACGCTGAAAAATATCTTTTACAATTTTCAAAAAATTCAGGGTTAACAGTGAAAATAATGGTGTTTTATTCTATTCTTTCAAAAAATTTAAAGAAAAAATTTGGAGCCGTTGTTTGAGAAAATTAAAGTACCCCCAAATTTTAAGGAATGTTTTTCAAAATCTCAAAGATTCGACTCGAGCCAGATAGACAAGAGTTTCTTGAAGTTTGAAAAAAAAAATACGTTTTGGCGCTAGTGGTGTTCACAGGCAGACGGACGAACGTTCAAAACAACAACTTTGTCAGTAGCATGGGACCCCAAAACGTGTATTTGCGTTGAAAACTCGAAATCGATTTTCTGCAGCATTACATGAATTTCTCTATACTACGTATATTACTCCGAATATACGTATACGAGAAAGTAAAAAAGTAGCTCTGCTAAGAAATATGACCTTTTAATAATCAGTTATACTAATCAGTGGGCCTCAAGACTATGTGGATAGAGCGCGACCGAACTGAAAGATCAGTCCTTTAAATGTAGAAAGAAACCGATGAAATCAACGGATGTCGA